CATGTTGACCAGGATGGTCTCGATCTCTTGACCTCGTGATCCACCCGCCTCAGCCTCCCAAAGTGCTGGGATTACAGGCTTGAGCCACCGCGCCGGCTTTTTTTTTGTTTTTTTTTTTAAAGGGAGGGAGGAGGAAAGGTGTCTAAACTGAGAAGGAAGAAGACAATAATAGCTACAACTGTTGAGTGCTTGGTATATTGTAGGCATTGAGAGGAGCTTTCCATTTCATTTTCCCCGTGCTTCTGTGAAGGAGTCATTTTCTCTTTTGTTTTGAGACAGTTTGCTTTTGTCACCCAGGCTGGAATGCAGTGGCACTATCTCAGCTTACTGCCTCCCAAGTTCAAGCAATTCTGCGTCAGCCTCCCGAGTAGCTGGGATTACAGGTACGCGCCACCATCCCCGGGTAATGTTTGTATTTGTAGTAGAGATGGGGTTTCTCCATTTTGGCCAGGCTGGTCTCAAACTCCTGATCTCAAGTGATCCCGCCCGCCTTGGCCTCACAAAGGGCTGGGATTTCAGGCACAAGCCACCACGCCTGGCCCATTTTCCCTTTTTTTCAGAAGAGGAAAAGGAAGCTCAGAGACTTTCAGTTATCAAAAGAGGAAGAAATGTAGCTTTTTTTTTCTTTTTTTGATACAGGGTCTCACTCTGTTTCCCAGGCAGGAGTGTAGTGGTGGTATCCAGCTCACTGCAACCTCCACTTCCCAGGTTCACGTGATTCTCGTGCCTGAGCCTCTCGAGTAGCTGGGACTACAGGCGCCTGCCACCATGCCCAGCTAATTTTTGTATTTTTAGTAGAGACGGGGTTTCACCATGTTGCCCAAGCTGGTCTCGAACTGCTGAGCTTAGGTGATCTGCTCACCTCGGCCTCCCAAAGTGCTGAGATTACAGGCGTGAACCACTGCATTGGGCCAGAAATGTAGCTTTAATGGTATGGACTCTAGAATTCAGTAGCTCTGATTCTGAATGCTGGCTCTACCTTTGAAGATATTGGAGACCTTGAGCAAGGTAGCTAACACAGCCTCAATTTCCCTCATTTAAAAATGAGGAAAATTGTGTCTACCTTACAATGTCCCTATGAGGATTAAATATGATACGTGTAAATTATATGGTGTTAATGCATACAAAATGCTTGATAAATGTTAACTCACAGAATGAGTGTCAGTTTAATATGAGTCAACAGTTCTTACTATGGGTCAAACATAGCATGTTTTTTGCATGCATTGTTTTATCTTCTTAACCCTCTAGTTACTGCCTTTCTGAGGAAACTGAGGTCAGGATATGAAACAAAAGCCATCAGTTTGAGCATATGCTAACACTCTTGCTTCTGTGACTTACTCTGGCGTGAAGGAGTTTTTCTTCCTGACGTTTTTGGGCTGTAAGATTCCTCCCATTAGGCTGGGGGAATGAAACTGAGGCCCAAAACCTTATTCCATGTTAAGTTCTAATTAGATAGGAGCTTTTGGGAAAATGTATCATATTTGAAAAGCCAGAAGGGGGAGAAAGAGACCTGTCAAGTGCTACAGGGAAAGCCTGACGTGCAGGGGATAGGAAAGGACTAAGGATACTTAAAGAATAAGGAGGTGGCCAGGTGTGGTGGCTCACGCCTTCAATCCCAGCACTTTGGGAGGCTGAGGCAGGCAGCTCACAAGGTCGAGAGATCGAGACCATCCTGGTCAACATGGTGAAACACCGTCTCTACTAAAAATACAAAAATTAGCTGGGCATGGTGGTGCACGCCTGTAGTCCCAGCTACTCAGGAGGCTCAGGCAGGAGAATTCCTTGAACCTGGGAGGCGGAGGTTGTGGTGAAGCCGAGATCTCGCCATTGTACTTCAGCCTAGGCAACAAGAGCAAAACTCCATCTCAAAAAAGAAAAAAAAAAAAAAAAAGAATAAGGAGGCGAGGCACAATGAACAGGAGAGGAGATGTGACTGCCAGTGGAGTGTGCTACAGAGAAAGTGTTGTCACAGGAAGTTGTAGTATCTTAGCTGAAATTTCAGAAAGTAGGTAGGCATGGGTTCCATGGCTCCCTGGATTTGCAGAGGGAAAATGATGACTAAAAATACCTTTAAAGAACATAAGGGTTAGGCCGGGCGCGGTGGCTCAAGCCTGTAATCCCAGCACTTTGGGAGGCCGAGGCAGGTGGATCACGAGGTCAAGAGATCGAGGCCATCCTGGTCAACATGGTGAAACCCCGTCTCTACTAAAAATACAAAAAACATTAGCTGGGCATGGTGGCGTGTGCCTGTAATCCCAGCTACTCAGGAGGTTGAGGCAGGAGAATTGCCTGAACCCAGGAGGCAGAGGTTGCGGTGAGCCGACATCGCGCCATTGCACTCCAGCCTGGGTAACAAGAGCGAAACTCCGTCTCAAAAAAAAAAAAAAGAACATAAGGTTTATACTGCCCAGTATGTTGGGGAGGCCAGACTGGAAGACGTGAGTCTGAAAACAAGGGTATAACCCAGAAAGAAAAATCATTCACCTATACCCCAACAGGAAACTATTCCTCCGTGTAGCTTGCATGGCCACTTTGTACAATTTTCCTTCAAATAGCAATTCCATAGCCTATGGGCTTTTAAACTTTTTATGTAATGGACCCTAGGATGATCTATTCAAAACCCCAAAAGAGATCAGGTGTGGTTGCTCACGCCTGTAATCCCAACACTTTGGGAGGCCAAGGCAGGCAGATCACCTTGAGGTCAGGAGTTTCAAGACAAGCCTGGGCAACGTGGTGAAACCGGTCTCTACAAAAATACAAAAATTAGCCGGGCAGGATGGTGAGTGCCTGTAATCCCAGTTACCGGGAGGCTGAGGCAGGAGAATTGCTTAAACCTGGGAGGCGGAGGTTGCAGTGAGCCGAGATCATGCCATTGCACTCCAGCCTGGGTGACAGAGCGAGACTCCATCTCAAAATCAATAAATAAATCCCCAAAAGAATATATATCATTCATACATGCTTATGAACTTGCTTCCACATTTAGGAGCTTCATAGGAATCCCCAGAAGCCCATCTTTGTGCCTCCAAATGAGCTACTTGGCCTAGCAGGATGTTGGAGGGAGGAGTAGGCATGGTTTACATTTTGTTTTCTTGTTCTCTTCCAGGGATTTAAACCCATGGGATTTAAACTATTTCTAATTTCATACACAGGATTTTTTTTTTTATTTTTTTTATTTTTTTTTTGAGACTGAGTCTCATTCTGTTGCCCAGGCTGGAGTGCAGTGGTGCGATTCAAGCAATTCTCCTGCGCCAGCCTCCTAAGTAGCTGAGACAACAGGTGTGTACCACCACATCCTGCTAATATTTTGTATTTTTAGTAGAGACAGGGTTTCACTGTGTTAGCCAGGATGGTCTCAATCTCCTGACCTCGTGATCCACTCTCCTCGGCCTCCCAAAGTGCTGGGATTACAGGTGTGAGCCACCATGCCCGGCCCCAAACACAGGATATTTACTCTCAAACCCTTGCTCTCCAGCACTGACAACCTGTACATGTCTTTGACCCTCCTAATTTTAGAATCTAGTTTTAAGGATTGCAGTTGGTGCTTTCCTTCTAGGCTGTAGGCTTCCACCTGACTTGGCTAGACATGAGTACTATCCTCACCCCACTGGTCTCTGCCTTCAAATCTCAGAGTCCGTGACTAGGCTGCCCTGTTTCAGGAACCTGCTTTTCTCAGAAATAGTAAGAAAGTCATAATTGCATCTCATATTTGCTGCTTATATTTATCAAGTTCCTACAACAACTGATTACCTTCAGGACAGCTATGCTCCACAAATGGGAAATTTTTGTTTCTGAAGCCCTCCAAGGAATGCAATTTCATCTTGGGACTCTATTCTTTTAATTAAGAAAGCGTTTCTTTCTGCTCATACCAATCCCGTAGAGGTCTTTCTGTATTTTCTGCCTGCAGAAAAGGTGGGTATCATCACAGAATCTTTAGTCTCTCAATTTATCACACATTTGTAATTTTTGTGGAAAGATTATAGGCCTTGAGGTTTGTAGGATTGTTGTTACAGCAAGTGTTATTTTTATTTTTTAGCTATATTGGTATATAATTGACATAGAAATTATACATATTTAAGGTATATGACTTGATGTGTTGATATATGTGTACATTGTGAAATGATCATCACAATCAAGCTGGGTAACATATCTATCACCTCACATAGTTGCTGTGGGGGTGGAGGGAGGTGAGAGCATTCAAGATCTACCCTCTTAGCAAATTTTAAGTATACTTCCTGTGGTCCCACGTACATTAGATCTCCAGGACTTTCTCATCTTGTATAACTGAACCTTTGACCAGCATTTCCCCATCCCCCCCCCCCCTACTCCAGCCTAGCCCCCGGCAACCACCCCCCACCTTCTTCTTCTTAGAGGTTTGCCTATTTTAGATTCCACATACAAGTGAAATGGTGCAGTATTTGTCTTTCTGTGTCTGCAGTTCATCCAGGTTGTCACAAATGGCAGGATTTCCTTCTTTGTCAAGGTTAAATAGTATTCCATTATGTCTATTTATATATACACAACGTTTTCTTTATTCATCTGTTAGTGGACACGTAGATTGTTTTCATATCTGGGCTACTGTGAATAATGCTGCAATGAATGTGTGAATGCAGATACCTCCTGAGATACTGATTTCCTTTCCTTTGGATATATGGGAATTGCTGAGTCATATGGGAGTGGTTATTATTTTTTAAGGAACTTCTGTACTGTTCTTTACAATGACTATACCAGCTTACATTCCCACCAGCAGTGCACAAGGGTTCCCTTTTCTCTGCATTCTCGCCAACATTTATCTCGTCTCACTGCAGCCTCCACCTCTCAGGCTTGAGTGATCCTCTTGCCTCAGCCTCCTGAGTAGCTGGGACTACAGGTGTGCACCACCACACCTGGCCAATTTTTGGATTTTTTTTATAAAGACAGGGTATCCCTATGTTGACAGGCTGGTCTCGAGCTCCTGGGTTCAAGCAGTCTGCCTGCCCCAGTCACCCACAGTGCTGGGATTATAGGCATGGCGGCCGCGCCTGGCTATCTCTTGCTTTTTTGATCATAGCTATCCTAACAGGTATGAGGTAATATTGCATTATGACTTTGATTTGTATTTTCATGATGATTTGTGATGTTGAGCCCCTAGAAAAAGTATTTTGGATGGTATTGGCTTCCCTGTTGCTTTGGGTGGTTCCATTTAGCCTAGATCAAAATCACATTGTAGACCAGATGTTTGGCATCCCTAGCCTGCAGTCCCTGAACTTGGACTCTCCTGGGACAGACCCCAGTTGGTGATGGATCCTAAACTTTGCTTTGGCTGAGTTCCTAACTTTTCTCCTCTAGTGAGGAGTTCATAGGGAAGAGATGTCATAGGAAAACTGGTTTTATAATGTGATGTCAGAAAGAAACGTTTGTCCTTGGCCAAGAAGTATTTATTGATCCAAAAAGGGAAGAAGAGCAGAGAGCACTTCCCCATCATCGTTCATGTTTGTCGGGTTTGTCATGAGAAGCCCTCACTCCCTTCCCACCTCTCCCCTCCCTGTGCCTCTGGCTTACTTTTGACTCTCCCCTGTTATCTAACCTGTCCTGATGGAGCCGTGGTGGGCACACCGCAGTCTAAATGGAAGTTCAGTCCCTCCAGATTATCAGTGTGATGGACAGCTAACAGTCTGGGAAGTGGGAGAAATTCTAGAACCCAAGGCTATTACCCATCCCCAACTTCCCACTTCCCACAAGCATTCCACACCCAGCAGGTGATAAGGATGGGATCAGAGGATGCTCCCAAGATGTTATTAGCAGCCTCTGGCAGACAGGAGGGCAAAGAGCTGTTCACTGGACATGGGATGGGCTGGCGGAGCTGGCCAGACAGAACCCTGGGTGGACACAGAGCTAGGAATAAGCCAGCCGGGAGACATGGCAGAGAGGCACCAGTTACTCTCCCAGGTGAGTTAACACGCCACTGTTTCCGCTTCATCTTTATCCAGCACCCACCCCTCACCTTCCACATCCTGAAGAGGAGAGAGGGGCAGCTGGAGGGCTTCCATGCAGATCCGGCTCTACACACAGGTTTGAGAACACACTCAGCAGTTTCTCATCCTGGTCCAGACGATATTTATAGAGGGACCAGTGACATGGAGCTGGAAGCCTACTACTGGTGACTAAGGAGGGGGGCAATGCCACCGGCTCAGCAGAGGGAATTCCCTGTGGGGCTGTCCCTCAGGTCCTCATCCCAACCCCCACCCGCACACTGCACTCACACCTGCTTCGACCCCAAGCAGATCAGATGTGGCGGTGGGGGGTCATGTGACGGAGAGGGGGCTATAAATAGCTAGAGGTGGGCATGCTGCCCCAGACGCCTTGGGGACAGCAAGAGCAGAGGCTTAAGGAGCTACACTGGGGGAAGGACAGGAGCAAGCAGGCCAAGGCCTGCCTGGGGATCGGGGGGAGGGAACATGGAACAATCCCGGTCACAGCAGCATGGGGGTGAGCAAAGCTGGTGGGGTAGTGCCCCCCAGTACCAGTATATGCCCTTTGAACACTGCACCAGCTACGGACTGCCCTCTGAGAACGGGGGCCTCCAGCACAGGCTCCGGAAGGATGCAGGCCCCCGACACAACGTCCACCCCACACAGGTAAAGTGCTATAAAGGGAGAGGGGAGCTAGGGATGAGGGGAGACCATGGTGCAAGAGACTGGTGAAAATTAGGAATTGGGTGAAAGAGGGAGCAGTGCTGCATTTCTTTAACTTTAAAAGCAAGTACATGGTAATGTGTTCAAAATATGGAAACCTTTGAGAGTCTGGACTCACCTAAGTATGCACTTAGAGAGATATACATGTACTTCTATCCAGCCTTTACCAACAGAATACCTGAATCATGCGGGGAAACAGCAGAGCCTCACAGGCACGAAGAGCTCTTGCTTACATAACCTACGTGGAGTGGATTGCGTAGGAGCCCACACTGCAGTGTGCTGGGAGCTGTCTCCCACACCCTCATCCACAGGCAGACACTGCTAGATCTCTGCCTCTGCGACCCTCTGCAGAATACACACACACATGAATCTTTCTGCGGAAGGCAGAAGAGGGGGTTGGGCAAGTGTAGAAAACAGACTGAATTGCATACCAATGATCAAAGACCTACCTACCAACGTCAAAATGAGCAGAGATGTAATTAAGCTTTTAGGTGGCAAGATGATCAAGTAAGAACCTATTAAGTGTTAGGCACCTGGAAAAGTGCAGAGATGTGATCCCAGCAACAGAAGCCTGCAAACTAGGAGCGGCTAGGGATGAGCAGCCTCCTGTGCTGGGATTGGTGGAAATGAGCGCCTGGGAAAGGGGGAATGGGGGTGGGCACAACTGAAGGGAAGGTTGTGAAATTGTCGTGGAAAAAGATAGGTCACGGTTAAAAAGTAAGTGTGCCTCTCACTCCAAAGAATGCAGAGAACAACAGAGGATGGAACACTTCCAGAGGGCAGCTGGTCAGAACTTTTTTTTTTTTTAAGATGGAGTCGCTCTGTCTCCCAGGCTGGAGTGCAGTGGCACCATCTCAGCTCACTGCAACCTCCACCTTCTGGGTTCAAGCGATTCTCCTACCTCAGCCTCCTGAGTAGCTAGGATTACAGGCACCTGCCACTGTGCCTGGCTAATTTTTGTATTTTTAGTAAAGACGGGATTTTGCCATGCTGGCCAGGCTGGTCTTGAACTCCTGACCTCAGACGATCTGCCCACCTCTGCCTCCCAAAGTGCTGGAATTACAGGTGTGAGCCACCACATCCAGCCTGGTCAGCACTTAAAAGGCCTTTTGTTTGTTTGTTTGTTTTGTCTTTTGTTTTAACAGGGAGCATACAGTTACTTTAGGTTTAGGACTGGGAAGCAGAGGCGTGAGTTGTGCAGGGGATCTCAACATTGGGGGTCAAAAGGATCTGCTCTCAGTCCCTGACCAACCCCCAAGCGTAGTTGCGAAGGCAGCACCAGGCACCCAGTTGGGAAGCAGGGACATACAGGTCAGTGTAGGCTGGAATCGAACGTTAGGAAGATTCCAGCCTACACTGGAAATAGCAGGGTCTGACTAGGAGATAGCGGGGTCTGACTAGGCCTTTGACACCATTTGGGATCAGCAGGAGGGAAGACCCCTCCCCCTGACCCTGTGCTCTCACCCATGTATGTGGTGGTATCTGGGTGGAATGACAACTTGAGAACAGTGCCATTATGGCACTTCCTGGTGACGGTGAGGAGACTGGCCAGGTGAGCATGAAGCTTCATATTGGGAAGGTATGGTTAGTTTGGGGAGTAGAATTGGGCTGTTTCCTAGAGGTCTCAAAAGCAAACGAGTTTGGATTTGTTTTTCTTTTCTTTTTCTTTTTTTTGTTTTTGTTTTGTGTTTTTTTGTTTTGTTTTGTTTTCTGTTTGTTTGTTTTTGAGACAGAGTCTCGCTCTGCCGCCCAGGCTGGAGGGCAGTGGCATGAAATCCGCTTACTGCAACCTCTGCCTCCCAGGTTCAAGCTATTCTCCTGCCTCAGCCTCCTGAGTAGCTGGGATTACAGGCACCTGCGAACACACCTGGCTAATTTTTTGTATCTTCAGTAGAGATGGGGTTTCACCATGTTGGCCAGGCTGGTCTCAAACTCCTGACCTCGTGACCCGCCTATCTCGGCCTCCCAAAGTGCTGGGATTATAGGCATGAGCCACTGCACCCGGCCCGGATTTGTTTTTCTTGGTTTAATTTTTATTATGAAAAATTCAGACTTACACAAAAATGGGATGGTATAGTGAAGCCCCAAGTCCCCAACAGTTATCAATATTTTGTCACTATTGTTCCAGCTATTCTTTCCTTCCCCACTCTCACCCCTCTACATGCTGTGGAATACTTTTTAACAAATCCCAATCATCGTGTCACTTGTAGACTTGAGTGTTGACTTCTCCCTTGCCCTTTCCTCACCTGCCCTGGTGTGATGTTTAGCATGGGACCAGCTGGGACAGACTAGCCCTTGTGTTTTCCCAGCCCAGGTATGATGATATGAAGCAGCCCCCTTCCTCATCTCCACTGGCCTGGGGCCTCTAGGAGCTGAGACAGCCTCAGCCCTCTGACTTCCGTTGGGAAGTGTCTTCTCTCTCTGGGTCCCAGATAGGGCTTGGAGGGAAACACTGCCTCCCTCGGTCACTAACCCAGAAGACAAACAGCCATGAGCAGGGCAATTCATGTGTGTGCCTGTTCAGGACTGCGACATAAAATGCTGCTCGTATTGTGAAATCAGATCTCTTCTACTCATGCTCTCCCAGAATCAGCAATGTGGCCTGGCCTGACCCTGGCCCCAGAGGACAGTTAGTGTAGTGGGAGTGGGGCAGGCTAAAAGCGGTTGGAGCTATTGTAAACCTCACACAGACACACATGGAGGAGCTCCTCTGCCCTTTTCACATGTGGGGCAGGTGGGAATTACCTGGCTGTGGGAAGAAGTAGATTGACCTGCTTTTGGTTGCTAGTGCCTGTGTGTGCATACAAGCACTAGGAGATGAGGTGGATGGGCTTGAAGCTTGATAGAGGACCTGAAGCACCTCAGGTAAGGCTAGACACACTAAGGCAAAGTGCAACCAAGACTGCCCTGCTAGTGAGCCCAGCCTGTCCTCACCCTATTCATGTTAGCAGGAAAGTCAGTGCAGGTGGTCCGGGGAAATTGTGGGACATCCAGAAAGCACAGTGACATGCAGAACACGATTGATATGGCCGCCTGGTTTCACCACCGCCCTGTACCTCTGCTTCAAAGCAGAAACTGGTCTCCTTAATAAAGGCTACCCCGGATCAAGATGAGTAGAGGTTGAAGAATGGGTGGAGAAAGGAAGGATAAACAGACAAGTGAAAGAGTGGGAAACGTGGAAATGGAGGGTGGAGAGTTGAGGACAGGGATGACCACGAAGTCACCCTGCATGCAATCAACACCCAGAATTCAGAAAAGCTATTACTCTTTTCTTCTGTGAGTTAAGCTGTTGCTCTTTTCCTCTGTGAGTCTGTGCGCTGCCCTCTATTATTTTTCACTCTTCAACAAGACAGACATTGATCATTTTCCCTCTGTCCAGATTTATGGCCATCACAAAGAACAATTCTCAGACAGGGAATGGGACATGGGGATGCCCAAGAAGACGGACTCCAGTTCTACTGTGGACAGCAAGGATGAGGATCACTACTCCAAATGTCAAGGTGATAGGGACTGAGGAATAAAGGAATCTGGAGTAGAAAGAGGTACAGGGATTAGGAGGAGAACTGGGGCATCCCATTGTGCATACATACTCCCTGCCCTGTTACAAAAACTCTCCTCTAATTTTTTTAAGAGACAGGGTCTCACTCTGTCACTCCAGCTAAAGTGCAGTGGAGTGATTGTAGCTCGCTGCAGCCCAAAACTCCTGGGCTCAAGTGATCCTCCTGCCTCCACCTCTCCGGTAGTTGAAACTATAGGCACATGCCGCCACACCCAGCTAATTTTAAAACTTTTTTTGGAGTGCCGGGCGCGGTGGCTCAAGCCTGTAATCCTAGCACTTTGGGAGGCCGAGGCGGGTGGATCACGAGGTCAAGAGATCGAGACCATCCTGGTCAACATGGTGAAACCCTGTCTCTACTAAAAATACAAAAAATTAGCTGGGCATGGTGGCGCGTGCCTGTAATCCCAGCTACTCAGGAGGCTGAGGCAGGAGAATTGCCTGAACCCAGAAGGCGGAGGTTGCGGTGAGCCGAGATCGCGCCATTGCACTCCAGCCTGGGTAACAAGGGCGAAACTCCGTCTAAAAAAAAAAAAAAAACTTTTTGGTGGAGATGCTGAGGCTGGTCTTGAACTCCTGGCATCAAGCAATCCTCCCGCCTTGGCCTCCCATAGTGCTGGGATTAGAGACGTGAGCCACCATCCTTGGCCTCTCTAAGTAATAAGGAAAAGGCACCTCTCTCCACCTCCTTCGCACTTCCCCTATTCCCTGTTATTCCTCCCCCAACTCCAAGAAACGAGTTTTAGAAAGGAATTCAGGTATTCATGGGGAATTGGACTTTGGTGCCTTTTGCAGGGACCAGGGCAGCAATCGGCAGAAGGGTAATGAGAAACTCAGTGCAGAAGATGCACAGACAAGACCCTGAGGGCCCAAGGCCTCCCCTCCCCTCCTGATTCTCACACCCGAAATAGTGACTGGTTAGCTGCTTTTTTTTTTTTTTCTTCTTTCTCTCTCTCTCTCTCTCTCTCTCTCTCTCTCTCTGTCACCCTTTCTCTCTCTTTGTACACCCTCATCTCTTCCTAGATTGTGTCCGCCGCCTGGGACAGATGGTGAGAAGAAAGTTAGGGGAAGACTGGATCTTTCTGGTGCTTCTGGGACTGCTGATGGCCCTGGTCAGCTGGAGCATGGACTATGTCAGTGCCAAAAGCCTTCAGGGTAGGTTTAACCTGGACCTTTGCCCACAGTTGCTTCTGGAGTTTCTACCGAGGGAAGCAGGGTATATTGTGGGAAGCGGATGTTGCACAGAGAGGGATCAGGTGGGACTCTAGGCCCAGAAAAGACAGACCCAGGCCTGCCCCAGTTCTCACACCCCTCCACTCGCTGCCACCCCAGCAGTGGGTGCCCCTCTATTAAGGTAACCAACTTGCCCCAGTTTCCCAGGAACTTTCCCAGTTTCAGCACTGAACATTCTGAATCCCAGGAAGCCCCTCGGTTCTGGGCACACTGGGTGGTTTGTCACACACAGGCCTCCAGCCCCGGTACTCCAGTGGGATTCGTGACACAGCCACCAACCACCAACTGGAACAGGCCATGTCACTTCCCACAACCCAGGCTTCCCATGTGTCAAATGAGAGCAGCACCATCTAGGGAAGGGCACACAGAATGAGCACTGCCTGGGAACACGCCGGATATACTGCCTGGTGCACAGACATGGCTGTTCAGCCACACTCTGCCTAACCCCAGGCATGTGTCTCTGCAGCCTACAAGTGGTCCTATGCTCAGATGCGGCCCAGCCTTCCTCTGCAGTTCCTGGTTTGGGTCACCTTCCCACTCGTCCTCATCCTCTTCAGCGCCCTCTTCTGCCACCTCTTCTCTCCCCAGGCTGTTGGTGAGAACTTGCCACCAGACAGCCTGAGCTGGGTGGCCTGAGAGGGGCCCTCTCTGTCTCCCCCTTGTCCAGCCCCACCCACAGCCCTGTGCTGCTTCGCCCCATCCTCCCCACCCTACCTCTTCATCCCCCGCTACCCAATTCCCATTCCCGCGTTCCAGATGTTCATCTCCCTTTTAATCTCCATCTTGACCCTGCATCTAATCCTTCAACGCCTTTAGGCTCCGGAATCCCCGAGATGAAGACAATACTTCGTGGGGTTGTCCTGAAGGAATATCTCACGATGAAAGCCTTTGTGGCCAAGGTTGTCGCACTGACTGCGGGCCTGGGCAGTGGCATCCCTGTGGGGAAAGAGGTAGGCCTGGCATGACTGAGGCAAGAGCCGGGAAGGACCCTTGGGAGCCAGAGTGGCACGAACTCTAGAGGGAGCTCTGGGAGTGGAAGTGGATCGGGGATAGGACCAAGGCCAGGGCCAGGGGACATTAGGAAGGGGAAATGCTTTGGAAGGTCCTCCACTTGGGGTACAATGACAAAAGCACAGCTTGGGGAGCTTGGAGCAGGCCCTCAGACTGGACACCCCTGACATTTGGGGCTGGAAAATTCTGTGCTGTGAGAGGCTGTCCTGGGCAGTGGAGGGGACTTAGTGGCATCCCTGTTCTCTGACCCTCTCTAGATGCTCAGCAGCATCCCCAAGTGATGACACCAGCAAGTCCTCCGACATTGCGATATGGGCCCCAGAGGACAAAATCTCCCATGGTTGAAAACCAGTCTTAATGATCATCCAGACCAATTTTCTTGCTTAAATCTGAGAAAGAGGCTGTGCTTTATTCAAGTCTGCTCGGTGGGGTGCAGCCTCCTTCCATTCTCTGCTGGAGAGCATCTTTGCCCCCTACCGCCGCATTCCACCCAGCAGCCAGAGGCATCTTTTAAAAATGGAATCAGTCATGTCTGGCCTTTGGTCAAAAACTTCTTAAGGCTTCCATGCCTCTTAAAATAAAATCAGAACTTTTTTTTTTTTTTTTTGAGACGGTGTCTAGCTCTTCTAGTTCTCTTGCCCAGGCTGGAGTGCAGTGGTATAATCCCAGCTCACTGCAACCCCCATCTCCCGGGTTCAAGAGATTCTCCTATCTCAGCCTCGAGAGTAGCTGGGACTACAGGTGCATGCCACCACGGCTGGCTAATTTTTCTATTTTTTGCGTATTTTAGTACAGGTAGGATTTCACCATATTGGTCAGGCTGGTCTCCAACTCCTGGTGATCTGCCCACCTTGGCCTCCCAAAGTGCTGGGATTACAGGTGTGATCCACCGTGCCCAGCCTAAGTGGAACTTCCTACATACATAACCTTTGAGATGGTGGACTCCGGCTCCTCCTCTCTCCAGGCCTCTGCCCCGGCTCCCGTGTGTTTGGCTCATAGGTTTCCTTTCTGTCCCTCAGTCACTCTGCCCTGTGTGTTGTTTTCTCAGCGTGGAACATTCTTCCTCCTGACATCTGCTTGCTCCCTCCCTCCCATCACTCAAGGTGCTTCTCTCTATCGAGGGAGGCTCCTTAGGCCCTTTTCTCTAAACACGTGCCCTCCCACCCTCCTCCACCCTGGCTCTCTGTCCCCTTATTCACCCTGATTTTCTTCACAGCCCTTGGCGTTACCTGAAACTCCGAGAGGAGAAACACACTGGTTTCTCCTCTTCCTTCTCTCTGGGATGAAGCCTCATAAGGGCAGGACCTCTGTGTAACTCCTCTATTTCCAGCCCCTGGCACAGTGCCTGGAGTAAGGAATATGAGTCCAATGAGTGCTACAGAGCCTCCATCTGGCCTCTGACCCCCGATTCCTCGCTCTCCTCTCTCCCAGGGCCCCTTCGTCCACATTGCCAGCATCTGTGCTGCTGTCCTCAGCAAGTTCATGTCTGTGTTCTGCGGGGTATATGAGGTAAGGGTGAGGCAGTGAAATGAGCTGGGGCTAGGTGGTAGAAAGAGTCCCGCTGTGTGTCGGGTGTTGGGAGGGCTGCCTCTGCTCTGGGCTGGCTGTGGTGCTGAAGGGGGCATTGCACTAATCCCCGCTCCCTTCTCTTCCCCTGTCCACCTACCCTAGCCACTTAATGCCTCGGTTTAGCTTCTGCCTGTCCTAATGCCCACCGCTCTTTGATCTGTGCCCCCCACATGGAGGACTGGCCTGTGGTCTGCTCCCATGCTCTCCCTGCTAATCCACACCACGCCCTCTCTGTCAGTTTCCCTCCATGTTTCCCTCCTGTGCTGCTCCATCTCTTTGTAGCTCCCAATCCCTCACCCCACCTCTTACATATGCCTGCCTGCCCCACCCCTCCACCCCTTGCCCGCCTGCTTCTCTGTTGCAGACCGTGCCTGGGCAGCTTGACCTCCTGGTGTCGGCCTGTGCAGTGGGCGTGGGATGCTGCTTTGCAGCCCCTGTTGGAGGCAAGTTGCACTTCCTCCCTACTCCTGTTGCCTAAGCAAGACCTAGAAGGGGGGGGTTGGGTGGCTGCCACAAGCTTTGGAGTGGCATCCAGTGAATGATTGTGGATCATGGCCCCTGGGGTCCAGATACCTATATTTTTTCACCAAAGGGCTGTGTATTCTTTTGAGACAGGTTGCTGCTTGCTGCAGGATTTGTTAGTGCTGCTTACTGGAGTTCTTGCTGTCTCTTTTCTGGTTATCATTTGTTGTTTTACTTCCTGACATATTTGCCAGTGGCTGGATCCTGGCTCACCACTACCTCCGCCTCCCGAGATCAAGTGATTCTCCTGCCTCAGCCTCCCCAGTAGCTGGGATTACAGGCATGTGCCACCACGCTTGGCTAATTTTATATTTTTAGTAGAGGTGGGGTTTCTCCATGTTGGTCAGGCTAGTCTTGAACTCTGGACCTCAGGTGATCTGCCTGCCTCGGCCTCCCAACGTGCTGGAATTATAGGCGTGAGCCACCATGCCTGGCCTATTTGCCCAACTTTTATTTCATTTTCTACTTCTATTTCATTTTGGCTCTGTGCTATAAGGTCACTTCCTTTTTTGCAAAACTCATAGAGCTGCTCTTGGCCTGGGGAAAATGGGACCACAAGGGCTCCTTGAGACTTAGTCCTCTCATTCTGCCTTATTCCCTATCCCTGCGTGTTCTCCTGTCCTCTGTCTGCCCACCTCCCTCTCTTCCACCTGTGTCTCTGTCTGTCTCTCCCCTAGTAGCAGCCATACTACTACTCTGATATCCTGACGGTGGGCTGTGCTGTGGGAGTCGGCTGTTGTTTTGGGACACCACTTGGAGGCAAGTGATTGGCCCCCTCCCCCATCAATCAGCTTGCCTGGCCTGGCTCCCAAAACAGTTTTAATCAGTATCCACAAGTGCTGGTATTACCACATTACTTACAAGCACAGCTAACTTTTCACGAATTTGCATGTCATCCTTGCGCAGGGGCCATGCTAATCTTTTCTGTATTGTATATGTGCTGCCTAAGCGAGCACAAGAACAGCTAACTTTTAGTAAGCATTTGCTATGTGCCAGATAACATTCTAAGCACTTACTTTTATTCCTGGCCAAAGCCATAGGAGACAGATATTACAGAGGAGGAAGAGGAGAGAACTGAATTACAGAGAGTGCAAGCGACTTGAACAAATTTATTCTGTTAGTAAGGTCAGAGCCAGGAATTAAAACCAAGGCAGTCTCCGTGTCTCCCCTACTTATATTAAAACCTGTTTGTATCCCAGCACTTTGGGAGGCTGAGGCAGGCGGATCATGGGGTCAGGAGATCGAGACCATCCTGGCCAACATGGTGAAATTCCGTGTTTACTAAAATATTAAAAAATTAGCCAGGCATCATGGTATGCACCTGTAATCGCAGCTACCTGGGAGGCTGAGGCAGGGGAATCGCTTGAACCGGGGAGGCAGAGATTGCAGTGAGCCCAGATCACACCACTGCACTGCAGCCTGGCGACTGAGCGAGGCTCCATCTCAAACAAAACAAAACAAAAAACAAGCCTGTTTGTATTGTTGGATGTTTTTGCCCTACACTGATGACATCTCTAATCGGGGACACTATGAGCTTCCTCCTTCAAGGGAAAAATCCACATTTTGTTGTGTTTTATTAATGACACGGGAATTCAGGTAGACCTTATTTAGATTAATTATAAGCTTTTAGTGAGGAATAGTTAGGGGAGTTTTAAAGTATTAATGTCTTCATCGCAGTTTAAAGTTGAGTTAGTTCTTTCTCCAAGTATAAGGCAAATAGTGATCTCAGATTATTTCCCTTGTCATGAATGATTAACAAATAGATGCAGTCGGAGAAAGCAGTCGTATCTCTTTACTGACTCATCAAAATCAATTATAGCTGGATTAGCAGGGCAGGGATTATACAGTTCATTCACTGGATTCATTGATGATAAAAAGGGACATCAAGTTGATATGTGAAGAAACAAAATTGCAGGAAGGTTGTATGCTTCTTAAATGACCCACTGTTAGAGGTATCTTTTCAGTTATGGAAATGTTAACCAGCCTTTTCATAGAGTCTTCCAGGGAACCAAAATGACTTGGCACAGGAATGATACATAGAGAAGAGTTTAAAGTTAATGCAGATGCATGATCTAACTTATGCAAACACTGTGGCAAAGCGCACAGACTAAGGAGCCCCAGCTAGCAAAGCGCACCAGCTAGTATCCTGTTCACACTTCTGTCCCTCAGCGCTAGTCATTAAAGCCACTAATCCTTGTCAGTGGAGGATAATGTATCTGGATTTTTACACACGTTAAACGTTCACACTTACTTTTTTTTTTTTTTTTTTTGAGACAGAGCCTTACTCTATAACCCAGGCTGGAGTGCAGTGGTGTGATCTTGGCTCACTGCAACCTCTACCTCTCAGGTTCAAGTGATTCTTCTGCCTCAGCCTCCCGAGTAGCTGGGACTACAGGCATGTGCCACTATGCCCAGCTAATTTTTGTATTTTTTAGTAGAGATGGGGTTTCACCATGTTGGCCAGGCTGGTCTCTAACTCCTGACCTCAAGTGATCCACCCGCCTCGGCCTCTCAAAGTGCTGGGATTACAGGTGTGAGCCACCACCATGCCTGGCCCATTACTTGATTTTTTAAAACAAATATTGTATAATTCTGAAAGGAAAATTAGTATCAAAATGATGTATTCATTATGGAGTCAGCTCTTAATTTCTTATACTAATGAAAGAAAAATAGAATTCAGCACTCTACTAAAATGACGAGCATCTTGCTCCCATTCTGTGCCAGGCCCTGTGCTGGATCTTGCACACCCAGGGTGCTCCTGGTTGAGAGGGTGGACAGGCAGGCACAACTATTGTCACTGCCCACAGTGGCAGCTGAGGTAAAGTGCAGTGGAATGCTGACCTGCCTACGAGAGCCCGTGAAGCTTCACAAAAGAGTGTTTAATATGAGGCTTGAATAAAAAGTAGGACTTCCAAGGAAGGTGGTGAGGGCAGGGTATTCTGGACAGAGGAAACAGCATTGCAAAGTCCAGATGCGGGCACTCTCATTACAGTAGCTGAGTAGTACCAGGGGATACAGAGGAAGGAATAATAGCAAATGAGTCTGTACGAGTAAAGGAGGGCTGAATTACGAAGACCCTCACGGCTATGTATAAGAATATAGAATTATCCCTCTGGGCACAGTGGCTCACTCCTGTAAACCCAGCACTTTAGGAGGCTGAGGCGGGCGGATCACCTGAGGTCGGGAGTTCAAGACCAGCCTGACCAACATGGAGAAACCCTGTCTCTACTAAAAATACAAAATTAGCCAGACGTGGTGGTGCATGCCTGTAATCCCAGCTACTCGGAAGGCTGAGGCAAGAGAATCGCTTGAACCTGGAAGGCGCAGGTTGCGGTGAGCCCAGATTGTGCCATTGCACTCCAGCCTGGGCAACAAGAGTGAAACTCTGTCACACACACACACACACACAAAATGAATATAGATTTCTCTAGACTAAGATTTGCACAAATGTGTTTCATGGTTTAGTAGATATAATATGTGAAAGGGGTTCTACAAATTAGCTGGAAAATGCTTGGTTAAAGAGATAGTTTTTTTTGAAACTGGAAAAGTTATGAGAACGTTTGCTTTGCTGACATTCATTGAGAATATCCGAAATGTGGCTGTAATGCAGCATTTCCCACAGAACTCTGTCTTGTGGGATTTGTAGCCTCTCACAGCCCTGACTTTGGGAAATGCTATCATGGGTGAATTAAAGTCATGAAAAGAGTTGTGCACAAGGAAGTGACATGACCAGCTTTGAGCGTCCACCCAATCCCTTTGTCAGATGTGTGCAGGACAGAATTGGCCTGGGGATTTACAGGATTAATCCGAGATTAACAAGAAGACGATTGTCATAGTCCTGATGCTAGGTAATAAGAGACTGAACTGGACAGAGACAGAAGAGAGAGAGAAGAACGATAGCAAGTAAAATTGGTATAACCTAGTGATTAATTTTATTTTTTTCCTTTTTGAAACAGAGTCCGGCTCTGTGGCTTAGGCTGGAGTGCAGTGGCGCGATCTTGGCTCACTGCAACCTCCACCTCTTGAGTTCAAGCAATTCTTCCACCTCAGCCTCCTGAGTAGCGGGGACCACAAGTGCACGCCACCATGCCTGGCTAATTTTTGTATTTTTTAATAGAAATGGGGTTTTTCCATGTTGGCCAGGCTGGTCTCGAACTTCTGGCCTCAAGTGATCCGTCCACCTCAGCTCCCAAAGTGCTGGGCTTACAGGCATAAGCCACCGCACCTGGTGATTAATTTTGTATGGAGTAAAAGAAAGGAGGGATCTAGGCTAACACCCAGGTTTCCTACAAGGGCAATTGGGTGGATAGTGGTTTTAGTAACCAAGATTGGGTATACGGCAAGTGAAACAGGTCTGGGCAGGGAGCTAGCTGATACATGTCACTTTGAGTGTGGTGGGAAGCTAGCTGATACATTTCACTTTGAGTGTGGGGGGAGCTAGCTGATACTTTTCACTTTGGAGTGTATTGCCTTTGATGTTCCTATGGCATATCTAGGTGATACTGTTTGTGCAGTGGGGTTGATGAGTCTGAAGCTCAGGAACATAGCTTTGCTAATCAGCAGCATATAGGTGTAGCTGATGACAGGAGCATACATGAAATTGAGAGAGAAAGTGTGCCTATGAGTGGCAGGAATAGGAGAACAAGGACAGAGCCCAGGGTTGGGCAGAGGCACAGGAGCAGCAGGGAAGGTAGAGAGGGAATCCAGAGTGGGAGAAGAGCAATGTTCCAGAACCTGAGAAGAGAGTTTTCAAAAGCTGTTTTTGTTTTTAATGCCTTGTTTCCTTTTAACTGCACATTTTATGTTTGGCTCAGGCTTATATTAAAATTAGCTCTCATTCTGGAGCATACAGTGACAGACTACAAGGGAAAATGTCCCAGAACCACACTGTGGGAAAGAAAACCTAGCCCAGGATTTAAAAAAAAATTGTTGTAAAATATTCATCAGTTGCAGAGTTTACACCCAAGCAAGTCAAAACTGACTTGCTTTTGTCACTGGTATAGAAAAGGAGAGAGACTCACTCTGCCTGATTCCCGCTGTGTCAAATCCTCCTTTTAGGCCTCAGAGGCAGCTGCTTACCTGATGTGATGTGAAGAGCAGGGCAGAAGGGGTCATCAGCAAGCTCTGTCTGCCCCACACTGCCCATTGCCTTGCTCTGTTTTCTGAAATTCTATTCTCTTTTGTTGTCTTTCTTCATCCTGTCGTTTCCTCTCCTCCTCTGCTCATCCCTAGAATAGGCATTCAGCCCTGATTATGCCACCGTACTAGGTGCTGGTTTCCAAGGAATTTTTTTTTTCCCGGAGATGGAGCCTTGCCCTGTCACTCAGGCTGAAGTGCAGTGGTGCAATCTCTGCGCTCTGCAACCTCCATCTCCCGGGTTCAAGCAATTCTCCTGCCTCAGCCTCCCAAGTAGCTGAGATCACAGGCACTTGCTACTGCACCCAACTAATTTTTGTATTTTTAGTAGAGATGGAGTTTCACCATGTTGACCAGGCTGGTCTCGAACTCCTGACCTCGTGATCCACCCACCTCGGCCTCCCAAAGTGCTGGAATTATAGGCGTGAGCCACCATGCCCAGCCTCCAAGGAATTTTCAATCCTAGGGGATCTCAAAAATGTAAACAAATATCCAGATCTGAAAGCGGTGGTGCTATAACAGCCCAGAATTCTGAGGGTGCAGGCTGAAGGACAGATGGTTTCAACCTGAAGAGGAGGATCGGGGATGGCTTTCCAGGGAAGGGGACTTGGGACTGACCACTGGAAATTCTCTACTAAACCGAAGCAGCTGCTGCATCTGGGAGTAACCATTAGGCAACCCTCCCCTGCTGCAAATGACCTGATGTAACCATTAGACCACCCTCCCCCTGCTGCAAATGACCTGATGTAACCATTAGACCACCCTCTCCTTGGTGCAAATGACTCGATGTAACTAGTTGACTGTCATCTATAGAAGAGAAGGTGGTGGTCCTGGGGGATTCAAGAGATATGACATTTGAATGTAGCTCAGGGAGAAGAAAATTACTAGGATGTTAGATGCTGCCTGAAGGGGGCGTTCACCCTGTTCACAAGGAGAGAAAGGGGATAAACCTGCCCAGTTCATGGTTTCCTAAGGCCAGGACTTATCTCCATTCATCCAGTTATGTGGGTGCTTGCATTTCCCTGTTTCTTCCCTCTCATTTGGGATAAAGATGAGGTTAGCCAGGTTTTAGGTAATCTTGTCATCAATTTTTACTTTGCATCGGATTAAAGTCCACCCCCCCTTATTCTTAATATGTTGAAAGATTTTTTTCTTTGTATCTCTTGAGTGTTGCTTTTTATGGCCTCACTCGCATTCCTTACTTTGTCCCTACCAACCCTTGTTCTTTTTCTGTAGCTCTACCCCCTCAATTTCTGCTCCAGCACCTACGCTCAGAAACAGTACTACTTAGAACTACTACTTAGCTTTCCTTTTGCCTCACCCACCTTTCTTAAGCATCATTGTTTTTATCTTCTTCTAGCCTCTTGGTTTTTCCCCTTGGGTTGGTCCTTTTAAGGCAGGTTTTTAGTATTAGTTTTTTTTAAATGTGTATGACTCCTCTAGCTTCTTTTCTTGAACGATCGAGGATTGTCAGCTCCTGCAAAGCCCCCTCCTATTTTAGTTCTGTCTTCCTTATAAAGTTGCCCCAGGTACGTGGTATATGTCAGGTGGAAGGAAAATCCAGAGGAGGGTGTTAAGGAGAGTCCCTGTGAATCCTGAGCTCTGCTTGGCAACTCTGCTGAGGACCTGCTCTGGAACTTTCTCTCTCTTAACTTTTCTGCAGAATTTTTTCAACTGCCTTTAGTCCATGTGGGTATCTGATAGTTTTGAAACCCCATTCAGTCCTACATTCTAAGGGATGCAAAGGGCATGAACACTTGATCCTCATGTTTTGGAGGTTGAAGGCCCATTCATTTTCAATCTTCTCTGTGTCTTGTTGGACCCATCCCTGGTCTCAAATAAAAATAAAAACAAAAAACTCCTAGCATGAGCAGGTGTGTGGTTTTGAGCGTAGGAATCCAAGAGATCATTATTTTCCACCACTGCTTCTGTCCAGATTCATGTTTCAGCAAAAGTCCTTAGGTCCAAGGAGTGGGGAGTGTGGGGGAGCCGTTTCACTGCTGTCTGTCCCCGACTCCATTTCTATGACCCCTGCAGGTGTGCTATTTAGCATCGAGGTCACCTCCACCTACTTTGCTGTTCGGAACTACTGGCGAGGATTCTTTGCAGCCACGTTCAGTGCCTTCATGTTCCGAGTGCTGGCCGTGTGGAACAAGGATGCTGGTAACCAAGGAGGCCTGGGGTGAAGGCCATGTGAAACAGAAATGCTGGTGCAGAGGAAATCTCTGTGGGGCAGTTCAGAAAAGGAATAATGGGTGGCATCATTTGAGGGATGTGACCAAGGCCCAAGGGTATATGATAAAGATATAGGTCCTGGAGTAGGGGAGTATATCCATAGAGGGATGTATGTAGAAAAAAGGAAAATACGGCTGGGCATAGTGTCTCACACCTGTAATCCCAGCACTTTGGGAGGCAGAGGCAGGTGAATCATGAGGTCAGGAGTTGGAGACCAGCCTGACCAACATGGTGAAAGCCCGTCTCTACTAAGGATATAAAAAATTAGCCAGGTGTGGTGGCGAGTGCCTGTGATCCCAGTTACTTGGGAGGCTGAGGCAGAGAATTGCTTGAACCCAGGAGGCGGATGTTGCAATGAGCCAAAATCACACCACTGCACTCCAGCCCGGGCAACAGAGAGAGCCTCTGTCTCAGAAAAAAAGAAAGAAAAAGAAAAGAGGAAAATACATTCAAGAGATTCAAGAGGAGAAACTGGGTATGGAGGAAGGAAGGAACTAATCCTGAAAACTGCCCACCTCTGTCTCCCGTCGGGTTTCTACGAAGCGCCCACCCTAATCCTGGCTTTTCCATCCTACAGTCACCATCACTGCTCTATTCAGAACCAATTTCCGAATGGATTTCCCCTTTGACCTGAAGGAACTCCCAGCTTTTGCTGCCATCGGGTCAGTGGGGTTACCTGCACTGTGTGTGGTGAGCAGGGAATGGGGTGAGGCTGTAGATTGGGAGGGACCCAAGCTGGAAAGAAAGTGGGGTTGGCACAGATAGAGTACATTGCTGGGGTCGATGTGGGTAGATAGGAAAGGCAGAAGCCTGGTATTTGTTTCCCTGCAGTAACTAGGGCCAAGAGATGAGGATTTCATGTCTGTAAGATTCCAACTCTATAAATTACACCCTCAGGATTTGCTGTGGGCTCCTGGGAGCTGTATTTGTGTATCTGCATCGCCAAGTCATGCTCGGTGTCCGAAAGCACAAGGCCCTCAGCCAGTTTCTTGCTAAGCAGTGAGTCACTGCCCTTCTGTTGCCCTACCCATTTACTTTCTGGTTTCTCTAAGAGTTCATCCCTTTTTATCTTTGGGGAAGGCATTAAATGCCTCTGGGTGGCTTGCATTAAAATATAAGGAACCCCTGATACCATGGTTAGGGAGTGAATTGTGTGGTCTCCCCTTCAAAGGTTATGCTTGTTTGTTTTTTGAGACAAAGTCTCACGCCATCACCCAAGTTGGAGTGCAGTGGTGCGATCTTAGCTGACTGTAGCCTCTGTCTCCTGGGTTCAAGCGATTCTCATGCCTCAGCCGCCCGAGCAGTTGGGATTACAGGCCGCACCTCCACACCCAGCTAATTTATGTATTTTTAGTAGAGATGGGGTTTCACCATGTTGGCTAAGCTGGTCTCAAACTCCTGACCTCAAGTGGTCTGCCCACCTTGGCCTCCCAAAGTGCTGGGATTACAGGCGTGTGCCACTGTGCCTGGCTAATTTTTGTACTTTTAGTAGAGACAAGGTTTCACCATGTTGGCCAGGCTGGTCTCGAACTCCTAACCTCAAGTGGTCTGCCCACCTTGGCATCCCAAAATCCTGGGATTACAGGCATGAGCCACCACACCCGGCTTCAAATATTATTTTTTTGTGTGAAGAGAATCTTCTTCATTTAAAGAAACGAGACTACAGTGGACTACAGGAAACTTCAGCTTGCCGACGTTCAATATGGTATTTACTGTGAGTTGGCTGAATTGCAGGGGTTAACTCTGTTTCTTTTTCAGCCGCCTGCTGTATCCTGGAATCATTACCTTTGTCATTGCCTCATTCACCTTCCCACCAGGAATGGGTCAATTCATGGCTGGAGAGGTAAGCTCTTGGGGAGCTGAGGTGGGGTCAGGTCACTGAGCACATGACTAGGTTACTGGGGCCACATGGGAAAGAGGAAACAGCACAGACATCCCTCTGGCTTCAGAGCATAAGTAGTTTTGTGCAAGGATAGACTTTCTAGATTCTCCCTGAGAAAAGGGCAAAAGAGACCCTTGAATAATGAGGCTGGGGAATAAGTTCTGTAAAAAACGGAAGCACAGGCTGTCCCTGGAGTACCCACTCCTTCTGCTTCCTCCTTCCCCAGCTGATGCCCCGCGAAGCCATCAGTACTTTGTTTGACAACAATACATGGGTGAAACATGCAGGTGACCTCGAGAGCCTGGGCCAGTCGGCTGTGTGGATTCACCCCCAGGTCAACGTTGTCATCATCATCTTTCTCTTCTTCATCATGAAGGTACTGCTCCTAACACTACCTATGCCCTAAACCTCTGTCTGTTTTCAATCTGGGAACCCAGGGTTTGCATAGGGTAGGAAGGGGTAGAACTTCATTTGGTCTTCATCCAAACTAGAAATAAGTCGTTTGAAAACCATGGAGTTGACCGGGCATGGTGGCTCACGCCTGTAATCCTAGCACTTTGGGAAGCCGAGGCAGGTGGATCACTTGATGCCAGGAGTTCGAGAACAACCTAGCCAATATGGCAAAACTCCATCTCTACTAAAAATACAAAAAAATTAGCCGGGCACGGTGGCGCGTGCCTGTAATCCCAGCTACTCGGGAGACTGAGGTAGGAGAATCACTTGAACTCGGGAAGTAGAGGTTGCAGTGAGCTAATTCTCAAAAACAAAACAAAACAAAACCATAGAGTAGTAAGTTGCTGTAGAAGTAAACCAATGTCTGAGTTAATTGCTCTATTCATGTCTTAGTGAGTGCTCTGTTCATACAACTTACTGTTGTTTGGCTTAACCCTTCTGATTGTTCTTCTTAAATTATTAAGCTATCACAATAGCCAAGCAAAAAAGTACACGATAGAGTTAAGCATTATAGATAACTGTAAAAGCCTTGGCTTCATTAACCTAATCCCCCCACTTGTTAGACAATTAAGCGCTTCATTCTTCGTGTATCTGATGATCCATTTTTTAAGTGATTTGCACATCTTTTTTTTTCCCAGTCTTGTGAATAATCTCTTTTGTAGAACATCAAAAGGGATAAAATATTTAAATTAATTGTATTTAATTAAAACAATTAATTGTAACACATAATTTGTATAAATGTTATTATTCTCTATTTAGGTAATGAAACTGTGAGAATTTTGCCATTCTAGCTTCAATTGAGCAAAAAAAGATGATCTCTTTTACATCAGTTCTTTATCATATCTGCCCATTAAGGATTATGTATTTATAGATTTCTCAATTACTGCCTTGTAGTAAGATATTTTTATTTCTATCCCTGGTTGTGACATTTATTACAATTGCTGATTGCTTGCTGGGCGTGGTGGCTCACACCTGTAATTTCAGCATTTTGGGAGGCCGAGACAGGTGGATTACCTGAGGTCAGGAGTTCAAGACCAGTCTGATCAACATGGTGAAACCCTGTCTCTACTAAAAATACAAAATTAGCCAGGTGTGGTGGCGCATGCCTGTAATCCCAGCTACTCAGGAGGCTGAGGCAGGAGAATCACTTGAACCCAGGAGGAGGAGGTTGCAGTGAGCCAATATTGCGCCATTGCACTCCAGCCTGGGGGACAAGAGCAAAACTCCATCTCCCAAAAAAAAAAAAAAAAAAAAATTGTCGATTGCCCTTTTTTTTTCTTTTGTGATGATTACCTTTTTTACTAAAGTAGGTCTTGCCTAAATAACACAACATTTTCCTCTGTATATTAGTCCTCATTTATAAGGCTGTTCATACTGAACTTTCAAGCTTTTGAATACTTTGCTATTAACTTATTTATGACACCTTTTATAAATCTACATTTTCCCAGGATATGAGTCACTGTTATATTTATATTGCAATAGCTGCAGTGGGTTCATGTATTCATTTGTTCAATAAGTGTTATTAAGCATTTACTATGTGCCAAGTACATAATATTTCATCATTAATCTTTGGCTAATCTTATGCTTGGAATAGAAAAAATATTTTAAAATATTTTAAAATGTTCTTCTATTTTTTGCTGTTCATTTAGTGTACTTTTCAATGATGTTGTGACTACAGAGAGCAGATACTTGATACACCAGATTTCAACTCTGTAACATATTCTCAGGGTTTACTCTGGGTTTCTAGAAACTATATTTGCAAATGATCTTCTGCATTTCACTTCAGATGGTTTAATTGGGTTTATAGCATTCATATTTTGCACACCCACTTTATTAATTTAATCCCTTTAAAAATGTCTTTCTTCAAGAGATTTGACATTTTTATCATAAAAGAAGTTCTTAGTGTCTTGTTAGGGATTTGATTTTTGGACTTTCATTATAGAGTTCATCTTCTCTAATTCATAAATCCCAACCTCCTTTAATTAGCTGTTGAGTATACAAACCCACCTACAGTAACCAAGTACAAATTTTAGTGGATCTCAGAATTGGACAGTAGTCCAATGATAATAACTATATTTTTCTGAGGTTCCTCTAGACTGAGCTATATGGCAACATTGGAATCATGTGTACCTTTAAAATATCAAGATTTCGAAAAGTTCTGTAAAAACAAAATACTGTATATTTTTTCAACATTTCCCCCAAACCTCATCCCAGCTCCTCAGATTCCCAAGTATATATCTGGATGCCACTTCACGAATTCAAGCTTATTTTGAGAAACCTACTTAGATAATATGGAGGACTCAACTCTATGCCACGATTATTAATTTCTCACTAGATGGCCGGGCGCGGTGGCTCAAGCCTGTAATCCCAGCACTTTGGGAGGCCGAGGCGGGTGGATCACGAGGTCAAGAGATCGAGACCATCCTGGTCAACACGGTGAAACCCTGTCTCTACTAAAAATACAAAAAATTAGCTGGGCATGGTGGTGCGTGCTTGTAATCCCAGCTACTCAGGAGGCTGAGGCAGGAGAATTGCCTGAACCCAGGAGGTGGAGGTTGCGGTGAGCCGAGATCGTGCCATTGCACTCCAGCCTGGGTAACAAGAGCGAAACTCCGTCTCAGCCTCCTGA